GTTCGTTTATTTGTTTTATATAAACGTTCTGATAATAAATCATTTTCTCGTTTAATACGTTCATATTGAATTTTATTGTTACAAATATATCTCAATCGTGCACGTTCAATTTCTCTAATATGTTCAATTGATAAATAAGACATATTAGAATTAAACGATTGTTGACGAAGATTTGATACATATTTCGAATATTCTTGTTCATGAAGTTCACGTATTTGACGTTCATTACGTTTATGTTGAAGAACATCTTGAACAACAAATGGCATTTTTTTTTGTTTTCAATGAATGTAATTATTGAGAAAAAAGAAAAAAGGAGATTTGCATGTTTTATTTTTTTTTCTTTCTTCTCGACTAAAGATATTAATTTATAAGAAAGAACATAACAATAATCATGAACGACAAAAAAAAAAAACGTATAGTATCCGGTGTCTGTTTTTTTATTATTAATTTTCTAGTTTTTTTTCATAGTCTTTTATATAGTTATCAAGGTAACAACGTAAACGTCTAATATAAAAATCAACATAGACAGATGGTAATTGTTTATCAAGTTCATTTAAAGATTTAGCTAATTGACCAATTGTACGACTAAATGGAACAAGATCTTTATTACCATATAAATCTTTTGGTTCATAAAAATCAATATTTAAATGACGCCAAAAGACATTTACAGATATTGCATGTGTATCTAAAGTTTTTATATTATGAAACCAAAGAGCTAAAAGACAAAAAATAAAAATAAAAATAAAAGATAATTATTGTGAATTGATTATTCTAACCAGGAATGAATAAACAATCTCCTGGTTTTAATATTCCTGTATAATAAGTTGCTTGACGAACAAGTGGATATGTTTCAAAATCTGGTTCTTCAATATTATTTACTAATGATTTATCTCCATCAATATAAAGATATTCAATATCACTTGGTTTAAACATAATAACTCGTTTTGTACCATGTACTTGAATAAGAATATTATCCATTATATCATAATGAGTCCATAATTGAGTATTAGCTGAACTTATACGAAATACACTTGAAAAAAAATTTTCGGATGAAAATAATGGTGGATATTTAATATCATTTGCAATCGATGAAAAATGTTTTCTAGAGATAAAAGAAATGTATGAAGTTAAAAATGAAGTACTGCTAATCAAGACGAGACTCAGATGATGAGTAATATCGAAGTCTAAATTTCTATTTGAAACTTTTCTCAATATAAAGCTCTTTTTTAAATGATGAATGATCGAAAAATTTGTAAACGAGATATTTGTTCACTTTGAATCCGCTACAAAGTATTTCCGATGTGTTACAATTAGAATCTCAGTCCTTGTTATAGAGTAATGAGGAAAATTTTTAACGATCGGAAAAATTATTTTCGATGATAAGTTAAATGGTTTTTATTTACTCTGTAAATACTAAAAATCATTTATTTCAAATGTAGTCAAAAAGTCTTGGCTAAAACATGAAACAAACAAGTTTTGATAACCTCAATAATTTTCTAAGTCGATATACAAAAGATTATTGAACTCAATAGATTTACGGCGTAAACGACCATTTGTAAATAATATCTGTAACTTTTATCCAAGGAATGGTATAAATAAAATAAAGGTTCTCTACTCATTTTCGAACATAATGCAACAAATTTAATGACATTGTTGATTAATTCTTACTCTATATTAGCAATATCTGTTCGTTGATTATCACCAAGTGCTCGAAAATAATAATGTTCATCAGATGCAAGAAAATATTCATCATTTGTTGTTCGTTCACATCGATGAATAAGTTTATTAAATGGTAAAGTTCTAGAATGAGACACATATAAATATAGAATTATAATACAAAAAAAAGATTATAGTAAACAAACATACTCATAAGTAAAATTTTTTCGAACAAAATCCAGCATTGGATCTTGTGAAACATGTATTCTCACTGGTTTTGAACCAATTTTTGATGCTAAATAATCACTTGTCCATTTTTCTTGACATGGACCAATATCGAATTTGTGTAGGATAAACGGATATCGCTTTAAAAAAAAAACAAATTAAATTAGTATGTATTTTCAATATCATAAAAACTTCATGCACGAATTCTTTATAATGATTATTTTATTATCATTCCTGAACTAAATCAGAACGTCGATCAAGTTGGTTTATCTCAAAATGCTATTAATCTGGCTTTTCTTTTCTTTTTTTTGCATTTACGAAGGAAAGTAATTAACAGATCGACGCTGTTATCAATGATTATTCTACTAAAAATTTTAAGAGAACTTAAACTAATGAGGATTCCTTCACGGTCTATGAACAGTTTACTGATTTTTCAATTTAACATGCAATATTTAAAAAACATCGAAAAAAAAAAAGTTTTCTACTGGAAATTTTAGAGTATTCTAGTGTTTAGAAAAACAATATTTACGCCTTGAGAAAAATAATTGCTATCTGTATGTTAAATATATTGTTATTATAAAAACAAATAATTACATATTCTGCAAGCACTTGAAATGTTCTACTATCCTGTATATGTACATCCTAGTTTACAACACTAGTACACTACAAGAATAAATTGAGTGCATTCTAATTGGCATATATTATTATCAAAAAATTGAATTTCTAAATTTTTCATTAACTATAGAATTACCTTTCGAAAGAAATGAAACGTATACTCAGATAGAGTTTGAAATTCTCTATCATTCTAAATATTTATTCATTGTTTTGCATTTATTTGTTGTAACAAACAAATTCAAAACGACTAAATTATTCAGAATAATAATTTTCAGTTCTATCAGAGTATAGACTTAGTTTTTTCAAGCGTGAGTGATGTGTGGATTTGCACTTTAGTATAAATAAATTCAGATTCGAGGCAGAATTTTTGAAAAAAACAAATAGTACATTCTGTAGACAACTTCTAAAACTATCAATTCTCTATTCAAAAATTTTTTTTTATCAGGTTTCTAGATTCCAACTGTTACAATGTCCTCTTCAGATGATGGTAAAATAAAAGTTTTTTATTTCGAAGCTTAATAGAATCTCTAGAAAACCAACTTTTAAAATGAAATTTTGCTGATTTTGAGAAATAAACCTTGTAAAGAATCAAAATGAAATGAAATCTAGGTATATTAAGTTTTGTCTTGAATGGATCATAGATAAGTAATATTTCAAATTCAAAATTTTTAGTTCTCATTTTCTGTAAATATTTTTACGTTAGATTGAAAAACCAGTAAGATAGCCATCATGAGTAACGAAAGTCTCATCATTCTGAATTCTCATAGGATTTTTTATTTCAGAAATAATGTCCCTAGAAATGTACCAAATATCATTGTAAAGCAGTTTGATTCACTTAGGGACCTTTTTCCATTAAAAAAAAAAACGAATTAGACTATAATTAGTTTTCTCAGCAGAAAGATGTTTTTTTTTCTTTGTATTCTAAATTCTCTAATACGAATAATGAAAAAACTAGTAAATTTAACCATCAAAATATTTTACTTTCCATTGACACAATTTTATTTAACACATTGTTTGCTAAAGTTTATCATGCATAAAAATCGTAAGATTATCTTATTACTTTGTTCTCATCTTGAACAATATCAATAGCTTCGTCGAGACTATCTGTTTCATAAATAGTCGGCATCTACAATCAGTATATTTTTTTTTTTACTTTAAATAGACTTCAAACGTTAATTTGAACTTTTGATTGATATTTAAAAAAACATCAGACAAAAAACAAATAGAAAATATTTTATTTTATTAGAAAAAAGAATATAATTATGTCTGCGTATACAATAAAAATTCATAAAATTTTTTTTTTTTCTTTCAGTTGTTCTTTTATTAATTTTTCAATTTTTTATTAATAATTCGATTAACTTTACTATCACATATTTTGTTAGATTCTTTTTTAACAAAAAGAAATGAATGCTTAACATTTTAAGAATAATATGAATGCATCACCTCAAGTGTTATTCTTTGACATCCATATTCAACTACTTTCTCTTTCACATATTTGCATTTCATTAGACATCATTGAAAAAAATTGAAGTAGAAATGATTAAAATTTATTTATATTCTTATTGATTAATTTGAATGCTTATAAATGTCTCGCTTCATTGATGTATAGTTCCATTTATTAACACAATATTGTTTTAAATACTATCTGAAAACAATCAACTTCTTTTTTTCAGACTATTTAATATAATAGTTTTTTTTTTTCTTCTTCTTCAATTAGGATTATTAATAACACTTAAGAAAGTAAATAGATTGACATATGCCAGAAGTTTCCATGGCAAAAAGAAAGAAATAAAACAAAAGGAAACACACGCGAAAGAGAAAAAAAAAAAAGAAAAATAACAACAACGAAAAGAAAATGCCATATCCAACAGCCAAAAATAGAAACAATGTATATGTGTATGAATTAGCACCATCAGTGGATATATTATGACAAAAAAAAAGAAAAACAAAACAACACGAAGTTAAATATTCTATTTGAACAACACTGTTCTTCTGTGGGAGAATATTAATGTGCATGTCTGCAACTGTTCGAAGAGGATAAGACTCTTCTCTATTGCACACTCACACAGGTATTTCTATATGCACAAAAAAAAAAAAAATAATATACACATGCATAACAGGCCAGTGTCTTTCTTTGTGTAAATATGTTTTTTAAAACGAATAGGAAATGTTCTATTGAATAATGCATAAAATAATAAAATAAAAACAAACCACAATAAGGAATGCTAAGATAACTAATATAATATTTGCATAGATTTTTGGTTTTTTCTTTTTTTCGTCTTTGTTCTTCAAATATTACATGTGCAAAAAATAGGCATAATCAAAAACGAAAAAAAACGAAGCAATATATGCACACATGTAAATAAGATGAAAATAAACCTAGTCAATATAATAATGGTTGTTTTAAAATCAACATTAAAATGACAATTAGAAAGACAAAAGGGTACTGTATGATAAAGAACAAGAAAAGAATGAAAAAAGATCACACAGAATAATGAATTTTTCTAAACAATTGCTCGTTGTTGATGAATTTCCTGTAATGCAGGTATAACATCATCAACTGATGCAAGACGTTCAAATATTGGGATAAGTGTGAGTAATTCTGTATCGTGCATATCATCAAACCAACTGTGTACAGGGACCTTTTTAGATGAAAACAAAACAAACAAAAAAAAACTTTAATTAATTATCTGTTTTAGCTTTTTTTTTAGTTTCAACATTACGGCATTATCTTGATGAAATAAATAAGACAATGGTGAATTATCAATAATGATTACTTTTCGTATATTTCGACCTAATCGACTAAGATCTTTTATATAATTTCCTAGAAGAAAACAAAATTTTTAAATAAAAAATAAAAGAAATTTCTTTTAGTTCATATTTTACCATTATAATATGTACAAGATTCACGAAAGAGTCTTGAATGAAATATATTTTGTGAATCAAGTAAATCAGCTACGGGATCAGCATACTTTAAAAAAAAAACAATATTAAAATGTTTAACTAACAAAAAAAAAAAAAAGAAATTACTTTTGCTAAACTAGCTGTAAATAAAACACATTCATATAATTCACCAACACGACGTAAAAATTCATCAACATGTGGTCTTTTTGTAACATAAATCTAAAAAAAGAAAATATTCATGTCATTAAGAGAATAATATATTTAATCAAATAATTTTTATTCATAAATTTGACATATCATTTTTCTTTGACAAATCGTATCTAGTTGAGAATAGATCTTTTTATATGCTTAAATTATTCTTTCTGACATTAAGTGCAGTACATTAAGTTTTGTATTTCATGAATATATACATGAAAATAATTAAGGAACAGTAAAAAAAAATGTGTTTCATAGAAAAGGAAAATTAAGGTTGTTTTTTTTTTGTTTTGCTTTGAGACAGTATAGCTTTGAAGAGAACAGAATATTTTAATCAATATTCCATTGATAAGAACAAGTTTTTACTTAGAAAAAGTATTTTTTTTTATTATTCACTATTTTAAACTTTGTTTTTATTCAACTTGGTTCACCAAGTACGTTATAATAAAAAACAAGAAATTGATTGTAATTTATTTGATACTGTGAAATTTTTATGTCATTTTATATATTGTTGTATTGATTAATCATCAATCATAGACCTAGACTAAGCATTAAATATTCAAAAATGAGACATTATTCAAATTAATTCAATGATTATCTTTTAGTGAATTCAACGCCTTTGTTCCTTCCTTTAATTAGATACCCATATTTTTCTTAACGGAAAAGGAAGAACACATTGGTTGATTTTGAAAAAAGCAAGGTCATATTTAATAATCTTTCAAACTAAGAATATATATATATTAAACTTACTTGATGTACTTGTCCATCAATTTCAACAGGAACAATAAAATCTGCATTATGTACAGGTCTAAATACTGAATGTACGAGTGTTTCATCAAGATCAATAACTAAACATATTTTTTTTTGTTCATTATCACGTAACATTGGTAATAAATATTTTTCATTTGACTAAAAAATAATAATAAATAATAAATTTTCTGTATTAATGAAAATTAGTCAGTTTTAGTTAATTTTTCAAACAAAGAAGATTTAATGAAAACTTATTGTTAATTTTTTTTTTTAGTTTTTTTATTATTCAAATCATTCAATTATATGTATATATATATATATACCTCTATATGTGTGTTTATCTCAGAATTCAGTGCAACACGCTATAATAAGATGAATAAAATAAAAAGTTGAAATTTCTTTTTTTTTTGCATCTTCTTTTCTTTTTAATTCACCTCATGATCTGCAGGAGTGTTGGTTGATGAAGAATATGCTGTTTTGCTTTGTCGACGTCGACAAGATCCACCCAAACAGCAAAGTAATAAAGATGCAATACGTCGTTTTCGAGTTGAACGAGCTAAAAAGAACATGATAAATTTTATCTTTCTTTTTTAAATTAACTACTTTTAGTTCCATTTGTCGTTTGAGAAGTTCCACTAGTCGTTAATGGCATCGATCGATTTTTATCATCATCTTTTGATACTTGAGTTATAATAGATGAAAAATTCAAGTCATTCGATGTTTTACTCATGGTAAAATGATTTGAGAAAAAAAGAATGTAAAAAGAAGAATAATAATAGGAAGTAGAAGTTTGTTTTTTTTTTTTGTATTATTAATTCGAGCTAGCCGTTGCTCGTCGGGTGATCGAATAAAATTTGGCCAAACGACATGAACTCTTGGAGAAATAATAATAATAAATGACAACAATTGTGAAAGGAGACACTCTTCGTCCCCGTCACAATCTATAAGAAACAATAAAAGTCTAAATAGACAAGAATAGATAGAGTTTTATTTATTAGCTATGTGTATACATCACATATAAGGAGAAGAAGCTTTCACATCCTATGTAACATATGCCATTATCAATTAATATATACCTTTACTATTCTCTCTATATACATGAATTGATTTCATCAGCGACCTCTTTTCTTATTTATCTATTTATAATACAAAAACAAATTGATTAAAACTAATGAAAATCTGAATTATTTCTTATTTTTTAATTAGAACTATTTTAAATATTAAAAATTTTAAAATAAACAGATAAAATGATCAGATGATTAACATGAGTCATTTGTTTATTTCTCTCTCTCTCTCTCTCGCTCGCCTCTTCTCTATGCGTCTCCCTATGAATGTCAGTGCGGCTTCGCTTGGTCTATTTCATATCATTTTATAAATCATTAATATATCAAATACGATTTATCTATTTTATGATACTAGAAAATATACTAAGAATTACCATATTTTATTTTATATGAGATCTTTCTTACTAGAATGCTGAACATACCATACCCTCCATATAAGGTGACAGATGTTTCTATAGTATATACTCGATTGTTTATTTCTCTATATGAACATAAATCATAATTATTCTTCGTCTTATAAGATTTATAGATTAAATGAATTATTTTTTTTTTTTTTCTAGATCGATTATATTATCTTCTTTTTTTTTCTCTTCTGTTCTTCTATTTCTTTCTTTTAAAAATCGATAATGACTTATCCGAAAAAAGAACTTCATGTTGCATGTAATTATTTATTACGATTAATGAAAGCACATGTTGAATTATCAAATGAACAAATAAATCTTTTTAAACGTACATTTCATGATATTTTATCCAAACGATTTATTAATCATTGGTTTCCAGGTAATAGAAATAAATTAATTATTAAAATTTTTCAATTATGTTTTGTTTTTTTTATTTAGCAACACCAAATCGTGGTAGTGCATATCGTTGTTTACAAACAAAACATTGGAAAGATCCTGTTCTTAGATCGATTGCTGAACGTTCTTGTTTACCACTTCATCGTTATCTACCAGTCATATTCACTATGTGGATTGGTAAATTTTCTTTCTTTTTTAATAATCAAATATTATTATAAGTATAGATTAAAGAAAGATTATATTTAAATAATAGATGATATTTACAACAGATGTAGGTTTAATTTTTTTTTTGTCATTAACAATGAAAGATAAAGATGCATCGAAACTAACATAGAATTCTATCTGATTAAATAGTTTAACAAAGTTTTAAATAAAAAATTCAATAGTGAATTCGTTGCTGTTGTTTTATTTGCTGGTTCGAAATATGTTTCAATATAGACAAGTTTATAATTGATGTTGAAATGTTGAGAGAAATAGAAAAAAAAAAAAAACTTATTTTTGAGTTATGATTTGAAATTTGGCATATGAATAGATCTTAGCGATAGTAGCCTTTTGATTTTCATAGCAGGTCCTGAACTTTTTTTTAGGATATTTATAGCCAATTTAGGTCTACATTAAGGCATCTACTGTTGAGACAAAAGAGATTTATCAATTTTTACTGTGTACGTCTGAAAGTTTTGAATTAATACTTTATTGGCAGATCCATTTTCTTAGAAAAAAAAAATAAAGAGAAAGTCTATAAAATACTTAGATAAAAAAGGTTTTTTTTTATTCAAAGAATACTATTGAAGAGTTATGGAATAAAAAAATTTCTCTCGATAGAAAGATTATACCTTTCAAATTATTATGATTTTTCATTTCTTATATATATATATGTAAATATCGAAACCTTGGATTTATTCTCTTGATGAATCATCAGTCAAGGTTTATTTATAAGACTTCTTTTTTTTTTTTTTGTTCTCCCAATAGAGAAGTTTTCAAATGAAAATCATAATTGAAAAAACATTCAATATTTTATAATATCATGTAGAGTTTATCAACTAGTTTAATAACACTTTATTAAATACTAATATTTTACTATAGCAAAGAAAAAATCTATTTCAAAAGTTCGATTCATTTTTATCACATTGATATATATCATCAATAGAATGTCTTTTATAAATATATTCTATATTATCTATAGATCCAGGTGAGGTAGCTGTTTGTTTTGGTGATGAAGGTACATGGTGTCCATTATATAAACATGATATTGATGGTCAAATACATCAAGAATATAGCGATGGAGAAGAAACAGTTTCATCTGATGATGATTTAATTAGTTTAACAAAAAATATTAAAACATTAAATGTAAATGATAGAGATATTTCATCAAAAGAAAATATTGATTCAAATATAAGTCGTTCATCATCATCATCAATAGAAAGTAGTAGTCGTGCATCAAGTCCTTTATATAATACAATATCAACGAATACACAAATACAATCACATAATGATTATCATAATTCAGGTAGAAATTTTATTTTATTTTTTTTTTTATATAATAATATCTTTTTTTTTTTTGGGAAAATAATAGGATCAAATTTGTATTCTTATCAATTTCTATCAAATGATTGGAATGAACAACAAAATATTTTTTGGCCACAACAATTAACTATGTCAGATTCATTTTTATTATATAATCAAAGAGAAAATTTTTAAAACAAAAAATAAAATAAAATCATTTATCTTTCTATTGTGTATGTGTTGTCATTACATTTTTCAGTTGTCTATATATATATATATATTTATTTAAACATATGTCCATATATTGTTCATCAGATCTGAAAGATAATTTTCTTTTATGTATATATATATATATGGATTTATTGTATGACTGTTGTAACACTCCATCCATCGTTATTTTATTCGTCTTTTTTTTTTTTGTTATATCTTCTTTCTTTTTTTTTTCTTATTCATTTGTCTGTCATAAGAAAACACAAAACAAAAGACATAAAAATTATAGTTCTTTTAAGGTTTAGTAACGAAAACTTATGATATTCATTATAATTGTTATTGCGTAAATGATGAATCATCTAAACGTTAACAAAAAGAAAATAGAGAAGGACAGAAAGAAAGAACCAGAAGACAAGCGGTGTATAGTATGACATCATTATATCGAAATATGTACTTACGCAAGATATTTTCAGTTTTATAAATTGATGCATTTTTCTCTGTAGATTTTTATATTTCTCAAATAACTTACTACAGTTATTAACATGCCCAAGGAAACCGGTGACATTCCGTCGTCGACAATAGTAATACCTTCATCAACGACGACATGTCCATGGAAAAAAACTGAAATAATACCTGTTTCAACATCATTTCGAGAACTTATGGATAGTGATTTAGCAGCTAAATTACAAAAAGAAGAAGATGAAAAATATGCTAATGAAATGAGGTATAAAATTTAATTTAATTATTTTTTTTTAATATATATTATTCTATTATTTTTTCATAGTCATTATTCAAAAACACCAATTGAAACAGAAATTTCTGTATTAACTGAAGAAAATGATGATGATGATAATCATCCTATTGATCCATCTACATTAGAAGAAGAAAATCATGATAATGATTATTTATTAGCTTTAATGCTTCAACATGAATATAATAATGAATATAATGGTATGATGAAAAAATATGAATCAACTGTTAATCGTAATAGTAAAGGTAGAAAAAAGTTTTCTTTTTTTTTAATAATAAAATATAAAATTTCAATTTTCTTAATTTTTCAGTTAAAGTTTCAATGAAAAATTTTCTGTTATTACCAGCAACAAAAACTAATCAAATTAATGCAAATAATAATAATAATGATGATGATGATGATGATTATATTGAAGAAATAAAAGAAACATGTAGTGATTGTGAACATGGTATTTTTGTTTTTTGTTTTTTTTTTATTATTTAAATTATTTTTATTTTTTAAATTAAGATCATCCAATGCCATCATTTAATCGTCGAGGTATAAGTGGTAAAGGTGCATCATTAGTTACTAAACATAATGCTGAATTATGTGGTAAACGTAATGTAGCACGTGTTATGAATACATTTCCACCTGAATTTGATACGGGAAATGTTTTAAATAAAATGCAATTATCAAATCGTGTTTATAATCAACTTAAATTACATTCTTATGCTGAAGAAAAACGTATGAATCGTTTACATGATAAAGTTGAAAAAGCTACAGCTGTAAATATATACATATATATTTTTTTTTCTTTTTGTTTATTTTTCTAAACAAAAAAAAATCATTTATTTGCTTTTTTTTTATTTAATAGAGTTTAGCTTTTGATCCAAAAACACGTATTATTTTATATAAATTATTAAATGCTCGTATACTCGATGAAATTGGTGCAATTATTGCAACTGGTAAAGAATCAATTGTTGTATATGGTAAAGGTGGTGATACAAAAGAACATGAAATACCATCTGAAGTAGCAATTAAAGTATGTAGTTGAAGAAAGGATGCCGCCGGATAAAATAGTTAATCTGTCACGTACTCAAGTTGTACTTTCAATAGGTTAGAAAAAAGAAATGAAATAAAATTTTTCACATTTCTATATATTTATTTTTTTTGTTTTGTTGAATACAAAAAAAACAAAATTTCGAGGACTCAATAACCTGAAGAGGTGTATTGATTGTGGTTGCTTTTGATAATAAGTATAGTAACCACAATTTTGCAAAGTGATATATCGATTAGTTTATGTAAAATCACGCATCGTACTTGTATGATTTTAAAATAGAAATTAATAGTAAATAAGATTACTATGTACATGAAAAACCGTGTCGACCTACTCTATTAGTCTTCATACTGAGTTATAATAGGTAAATTACGAATATCATAGTTATTATTGAAAGCATCCAAAAGTGATAGATCTTCTTAGACTATGTAGTCCACGGAAACTTTTTTTTTTTGCATCCAGCAAGATCGTGGTAGATTTACAATCTTATCAGGCGGTGTCATTGATATTATATTTTTGATCAATTATTATTTTTATTATTAGATTTTTAAAACAACATTAAATGAATTTCATACACGTGAAAAATACTTACGTGAAGATTATCGATTTAAAACTCGTTATAAAAGTCTTAATCCAAGAAAAATTGTTAAATTATGGGCAGAAAAAGTAAAGAAAAAAACAAACAAAAATAAAAACAAATAAATTTTTTCTTTTTATTATTATTAAAGGAAATGTTTAATTTACAACGTCTTCAACGTGCTGGAATACCTTGTCCAACACCTATTCTATTAAAAAAACATATTCTATTTCTTTCATTTATTGGTAAAGATACTGTTCCAGCAGAACGTCTTCGAGATGCTATTCTTTCATCTGAACAACTTGCTAATGCATATCAACAATGTTTAAATGTAAGATTTCTATTTTGCTAATTACTATCAAATAATCAATAGGATAAGACATTGACTTTTCAAACTTTTTTTTAGCTACTCAAACGTATTTATCATGAATGTAAATTAATTCATGCCGATTTTAGTGAATATAATTTATTATGGTTTGATAATACAGTATATGTTATAGATGTAGCACAATCTGTTGAACCTTATCATCCAAATGCATATACATATTTACTTCGTGATTGTACAAATCTTTCAACATTTTTTAGTCGACGATCACTTAATGAATATGTTTTAACACCTGAAGAAACATTTAATCATGTAACTGGTCTTGCATTTGAAAAACATGGACAAGAATTTCTTAATGATGTACAAACATATGAAAAAAATATACGTTTACAAAGTGAAGCAATAAAAGAAAAAGAAAATTTTTCATTTGATTATTTTTTTAATCAAACAAAAAAATTGAATATTGATGATGATGATGATGATGATTCTTCATCAGATGAAAATGATCTCGAAAACAATGAAGATATAGAAATAGCCGATGATAATGATGATTATGTAGATTTAACAAGTGGTGATGAATCTATGACAAAATCTTCACTATCGAAACCAAAGAAATCACCATCACGAAAAACAAAACTTTCTAAATAGTCATCATAATTTTGTTTGTTTTCTTTTGTGTGTGTGTGAGTTTATGATTGTATACATCGGTTTTTTGTTTCTTTTGTTCTATTGTTAACCTATTCTTAAGCATACAGCAATAGGCATATAAATATATAACTTTTCGATTTTTTTTTGTTTTTTCTGAAATATTATTTTCATTTGATAAGTGAAGAAAAAAAAACAACACAATTGATCACGAGCGGATTTATTAGTCATTTACTGATATATGCGTAGATCGATTTTCATTTTATAGAAATGAATAAAATAAAGTTTTCTATTTCATATATTCAATTTCTATATTTCATAAAGCAAATATTCATTTTGACTCTTGTATTATATGGAATATTTTATTCTGTTATGTCTTGTTGTGATCATCAAATAAATATATAAGTTCTATTGGATATATTAAACCACAGAAAAAAAAAAAAAAAACTTGTAGAGTCTAAACCTCGAAATAAACAAGTAATGGTATTGGTCTATTATAATCACGAATGAAAATTAACAAATATACTATGGAAGATAAGATAGTCATTATAGTTTGTTAAAAACAATATATATATATTGTTTTTTTTTTCAAAGTAAATATATGCAATCAATATTCGATATTTGTTTTTCAGATTATTAAGCTTTGTATTTCATTTTTTTTCTTCTGACTATAAAATGTCGGACCAAGCATCATCAACTGATACATCTGGCTCGACTGAACTTAAAGCTGGTCATGCTCCAGCTAGTAGATATTAAAAATTATTTCGATTTTATCTGTTTTTTTTTAAATGATTATTATTTTATTTAAATAGCTAAAGTAGGTGGTATGCGTGTTGGTGCACCTCGACCACGACATACATCACAAGGTGAAGAGAAAAATGCTGCTGCTGGTACTGGTAGTAATGCTGAAAATACTGAAGGTGCTGAAGAATCATCAGGCGATAATGCAGCTACAACCGAAACTAATACAACAAACGAAACACCTGTTGAAGATGTTGATAATGAAGAGCCTACAAGGTGAATGTGCAGAATAATGAAGACATTATTATAATAGAACTTTTTTTTAGCACTGTTGCTCATCGTACAGCTGGTGAAATGGTTTCAGGAGTATTTGTACCAGTATGTAAAAATTTTCATTCTATAATCGAAAACAGAAAAAATTCTTCTACTTGGGTCAGTTTTGATATATCGAAGTTTTATTTTCAACAAGATATATTTGCTTAATCCATTTTTATAGTATGTTCTAGAAAAAATTGATTTGAAAAACTAAATTAACAGATTTAAGATATTGATATTATTGAGTAAGAAAAAAGTGTATATTAGAAGAAATTCATCGTCTTTCAAAATGATGTATTTTTATGGTTTATAATAATAATCACAAGATGAATATTTTGTTTAGAACATCAACATTTGAGTCAATTAGATTCTTTGCTAGTAAATAACATTTCATTTTTCATTGATTTTCTCAGTAGTTTCTGATTAATGTTTTTTTTTATACTCAGTATAATATTAGCAATATTGATATAATGTCACATCAAAGTAGTGAATATTAATTGTTGAACAATATGATTTTTTTTCTCTTATAGTTAAAATATAGTACTGAATTCAATAGATTTTAGTAGTCTCATCATTCGAAGATTTATTGTAAGATATGATTGATTTATTTAGATTGAGAAGGCATATCCAACTGAAGCTGTAAAAAATATACATGATAAACCTGGTACACATCCTAAAAATCAAATTCATACTCATGCAAAACATAATGACCAAAAGTTTATCATTCAACCACGAAAGCAATAAATATTTGTGCAAGAGGAAAAAATATCAACAAAAACAACAGCAGCAGCAACAACAACAACAACAGTACAAGTTAAATATTTTACATTATCATTTCATGTTATTTAAAGGTTTTGGTTTAATTTGTTTATTCATTCATCTTTTTTTTTCTTCTGTTGTTTGAAAAGAATCTATATATCAATAAATATCCTCGCATTAACTCAAGAATGATAAAAGAAAAATACATTTTTTCTTTATTTTCAAGATTTTATCTAAAAAAATAAAACAGAAAGAAAATGAACGACGAAATTGATATATTATCAATAATCGAGCAACAAATTTCATTCTATTGTTTACTTAAAAACATCAGAGTATGAAACAAAAAGGTAGACGTTCCAATTCTTTTTTTTTTTTCTTTACTGTTTTCTATATAATCGGTTACAATAAATTTACTAAAATGACGTCAATATTTATATATATATATAATATACCTTTGATGTTGACAACTAGAAAAGAAACAAGTTGGTTTGTATTTGCTTATAATATAACATTAGATAGAGGTAAGTCTTATAGAATATCAAGTACTTCTTTTCTTTCTCGAACAAAAGAACATTAAATGTTTTGGCAAATTTTTTAAGTGTGAATTCGAGAAGATTTTTATTTATATATATATATAAGTATTGTGAGAAGTTTTACTGATACATATATATTTTTTTTGTGGCTATTCCAAGACTGAAGAAAGATAATTACTCATTCATAACTATGAAAGGCATGTATTACTCATAATATAACTAGCAGTGATATTTATACAGTAATGAATGAAATAAATGTTAATATTTCAAAAATATGAAGAACTTGAAGGTCAATGTTATGACCCTCGAAGAAATATATTAGTTCTATTAATAATTTCTTAATAGTTTGCATTGGAAAATTTGCTTTGATTATATTCATTTTATTTTTATGATTTTCTTTTCAGATTATGTTTTAAGAATTATTAAAAAAAAGAAAAACGAAATGACAGATAGAAATAGACCGATGACAATAAGATCTAATGCTGGAAAATCGTCATCATCACTTTCATTGAGTACTAGTCCACTACCAATTAATTCATCAATATTAACTCAACAATTTGCAGACATTATTCGACGTTATAAATATTATTGTCAACATATTCAACGATTACGAAAAGAAACAGATAAATCTTACAATGAAATAAATGATACACGTGTTCTTGCACAAGGTGTGAAGATTATTTCTTTTTTTTTATCTAGAAGACAAAGAAAATGTTTGTTTTTATTATTATTATTTAGACAAAATTTCTAATATATCTGTATCAAAATCTGATGGTGAATATCTTGATGCATTAAAAACACGTCCATTAGCACTTATTATTTGTTCACAAAGTTATAATGGAAAATCACGTTTTGTTAATGAATTATTAAATGAACAATTATTACCTGAATCACCATTAATCGATAAAAATGATGTCGTACGAATGGTTCGAATCAAGGTAGAGGTTCGTTTAGAATGTTTTATTTTATTCAAAATCATCAAATTTGATTAAATGTCAAAACTAGAGATGTAAAGATTTACCGAAATCAGGAATCGAACATAGAGTAGAATAGCTTAGGACTAGAATGATGAGAAAAATGTTAACAGAATCGACGCATTTATCCTAAATCTGATCTTTTAGGGTATTCCACTTTGAAAATTCGATTTTGTGCAAAAAAAATGAAGGGGTAGTTGTGCATGTTGTCTTCGCTTACATTCTCAAAGTAGACGTTTTATATAAAATAAAATATCATATTTCTTATGAGTTACCGATAAAAACTAATCTTAATTATTAACTTTGAAATAATAACAGAATTTTAAAAAATTAATTTGTTATTCTTCTGTCTTTATTATATTGTTGAATAGCACAACAAATATCATGTCAATAGTAGGTAATATCATCTATTGTGATATTTCTCGTACAAGGACAATCCAATGTAAATAGATCAGTGCTTCGATTGACATGTAATATATTTATACTGCATCTTCATTTAAATGGTCGTAGGTGGAAGTGAGGGCTGAGCTTTTGTGACCTCCTGACTTCACCACTAAATAATAGAAAGACTATATAAAAAACCTTCTTTTGCATTTTGTTCAATATACTTCATTCTATAGTACTATCACACTCTTCAAATCTTTACTTTATATGGAAAAGTATTGCATATAGTTTCTTCCATAGACAGCAACAAACAATAAGAGACCATCTCAAAACCTAATTAATTTCACTAAATATATGTTTAAAAGTAAAAATATTTTGAAATGTCGAGATCTCATATATCATGTGGCCTGATGCCGGCTATTCGACTCAGTTGAAGGGTACTCGTATAAACATGAGCCTAATCAGTTATCAAATTCATAAACTTAATCATATTATAAACGAAACTATTTTATCTATAATTTCTTTCTAATAAGTGATTTATTGAAAATCTTTCTTATTTGCTTCTATTGACAAAAACATCATTAAATTTCAATCAGTTTTTTTTTCTCCATATAGAATCATTCAGTACGCGGTGCTAGTTTAAATATATCCGGTTCATTCGAACTTATAAATGCTGATATTATGTATAAACCTGTATCATGGGCAACAGTACCTCGTGATGATTTAATTGTAAATGGGACTAATGAGTATCATCCATTATCGGATGATGAAAATTCAAATGATGATAATGAACAACAAGAAACAGCATCACTTGAAATACGTAAACCATTGGAATTACTTAGTGATGATTTACAAATAGTTATAACACCAAGTAATCAAAAATTAAATATGAGACAAATTTATACACAAATAACGGAAAATATTGTACCAATATTTATTTATATTATTGATCAAGAAATCTTATCAGAAAATGATATTGATGAATTAAGATTATTTCGTTCTATTGTACCTAATGAACCTATTTTATTTATTCGTATTGATCAATCTGATAAGTAAAGAAATTAATTCTATTAATTTAAATTTCTATTCATTATCTTATAGTTCATCGAGTACGAGTGAAGCACCATGTGTTCAAACTTTCAGGTAAATTTCTCGATTTTCTTCAATGATTTCTATCATTGATAAAATAGAAAAAGTAAACTTGTAAATATATAAAACTATAACTAATAGGGAAATAATTTCAGATCTGAGTTTTATTGGAATAAACTAAAAATCAAATAGAATTTATTTTACTAGCGAAAGTATGTTTTCAACTGAGAAGTGGTACATTTAACGAAACGGCTAACGAATTATAGGTTATCGACTACTGTTATATTTAGAACTTACAATTCAATAACTTTTCTTAATTTAACCGATTGGTTAGATTAAAACGTTTCTTCGTAAGACACATATGAGACCTAGTATTAATTTAGGTTTTTCTTTCAAAGCTATTTTAAAATTTCAAAAGGGCTCAGATCTATTTTTGAGAACAAATGCAAAAATCACAAACTCTACAAATAGCCAACTCAATCTTTGGAAGACCTCCACGCTAAATAAAATACCAGATGAGATTAGTCAATGTCAAGCTAGGGTTTTTCAATGCACAGAAGTCGATATATATTTGTTGATAAATATGAAATAGCTCGAGATACTTTATAACAGCTAATTGAATGTCTTTTATTCAGTTCTCATCTACTTCGATGCTCACCCTAGAAGTTAACAGAATTTTGCTATTAGCTGTTCGAAGCACTGTACAATAGTCTGTGGTATGTTTTATTTTCTCGACACATAACTTGAAGTTGCTACTCTTTTGTTGCGATGATCTAAGGATTGAAGAGTAGTATAATTTTCATTCAAACGTTGTTACAAAATTCTATGTTCCTATATGATGAATCTCTGGGTTTAAGTGTTCGTCATATCTAATGTATTCTTGACATTAGAATGAATTGAAGATTAAAAAAAAATCAATGAAAACTTAATGAAGAGCTCTCCTGTCGTAGAATACTAAAAGTCTCGAAGGTTTTTGATCTAATATCTGTTGATTTTCATTTTGCATAAAAACCAGATTGCGGTGTATATAACTAAACATGCATTAAACTCATTGCTCTACTTTTTTACAATATAAAAATATTTATTTCGCTAAATTTGACACTATGACTAATTCGAAAGTCTTATCATCTCATAAATGATGATTTCAGTTTAGGAAGGTGTTTCATACTAAGGACTTAGCCTGTGTACTATTCATAAAATTGTTTGTCAGACTGAATTTATTTTTTCGACTGAGACAAACGCTAGCGAGAGGCCCTCACAGACATTCTTGATAGGCGATCAAAGACCGTATATCAATAACGTCATGCCGAGGAACTTTCTTACTGCATTTATGGAAAATTAAGTTAAAACACGTTGAAGAAATATATCCTAGAATAGATAAAACTTCTTTTGATTAGCAACAATAAGTATATTACGTTTCACATTTTAATCCTGTCGATGTTATATGAAAATTCGAATCATAAGAGAGAAAACTAGAAAAATCATTTTTTTTTTAATTGATAGAAATTTAAAATTTATAAGTAAAGTTATTTAATAAAACAATTTTTTTTATTATTTTGTAATTATTCTCTTATATTTATAAATTTTATTTTAGGCAATTATGTGACCTTGGTTTTCTTTCATTTTTGAGCACAGAATCTAATGATAATACATCAGACACAACACCTCTTTTTCAAAGTGATATGATTGATAATGGTTTAATTAATTTTACACTTTTTCTTAATTATATTCTTAAACATATTGATCGATTAACTATTCGAGCTGGTAATAGAAGACTTTCTTTTATGAATCTCTTTTAAATATATTATTATTATTATTATTATAGTGAGCATTTTACAACGATCACATGAACTTTGTTTAGATCTTTTTAATGATAGTGCTTTTGATATGGCTAGGTAAATAAAAAAAAACTTTTTTCTTTTTAATGATTAATTGTTTTTCTTCTGAATATATAAAAAATATTTTATAGAGATATACTTATCACACCTAAACGCTTAAGTTATGCACGTGAAAAAGAAAAAAATCTTTATGAATCATTAGTTGCATTAACAAATTCAAAACAAAATGAAATTCAAAAAATAATTTTACAAGCTGTTGATGAAATGCATGAAGTCCTAACAGATGAAGCTTGTTCACTTGAAATTCCAGGTATATTATTTTAAATTTGTAATACAAGAACAAAATAATAAAATTGTATTAAATATTTCTTTTTTCTTTTTTTCTTTTTAATTTTAGGTATCGAACTTACTGATCAATTAACTGTAAAACATGCACGAGATTTAAAAAAATGTACAAGTGTTATACAAGAACAAATTCTTGTACGATTAAATGAAACTATAGCAAATAAATTATTAGATTCAATTAATGTTTTACATGATAATTATGTTGGAACATTAACACGTTGTCTTTTTAGTTTAGAAAGTAATAAAGATGATGATGAATCAGAATTATCAGCAAGTAAAGCACTTCAAGAGGTATATTATTAACTTCAATATATAAAATTTCTAGAAAAGAAAAGTTTATCTTAAACTTCATGTTTTTTTCATAACGTTTGTTTTTCATAATCTCAAGATCTTGGTCATATAAAATAGTACAAAAAAGAAAAAGTCTAACAGATAGATATTATAGCCAAATAAGTTTTCTATAGAATGTATTTTCTACTAGATGAACGACGATAACAAGGTTTCTAAAAAAAAACTGGACATGGTCGTTTTCAGAATACAGAAGCTATTTTTTACCATATGATTTTAAGGGACCCTCGTAGTTTCTACTGTTTTCATTTAAAAATGTTCTTTGATAAATTTTATTTTTTTCTGTCATACTATTAAACTTTTTAAGGGATGATTACTGTGTTTGGTTTTTTAAGAACCTTGGTCTTATAATTTATGTAGTATAGAATGTATTAGATAGAAAACTTATTTAGCTGTATTATTTAAATTCGAGCTAAATGCTTAACATCATAAGAAAATAAACAAAAATACATTCTTATCAAAACCTTGTTGTTTTTTTCTCGCTATCTCAATTTCTTCATTTGATGAGTTGTTTATTCATTGATTCTAATGAAATAGAAGCAGATAATATTGTTTCGAGTTATAATGAACAAGAAGATTCATAAGACAACTAATAAGTTGTGTTATCGTCTCTTTTGTTTTTCATAACAAAATTTTTTTACATTATATGAATCTAAATCATAATTCTTTATATAGATATAGTAGTTTTTATTGTATCAATTAAAATTTTTCTTTTTTTCTTTCATTTAATGTCTATGTCTGTTTAGATCCTTCATTCTGCATATGAAGTCAATCTATCATTACCAACTAATTCAAATTTATTTCAAATATTAATTGATAGAATGAAAGAGGTTAAATTTTATTTTAGTTTTCTTTTTTATATGGAATTCTTATTTCTTTTTTTTTTATAGCTTTTTCGAACATTTAGTTGGAATAATTTTCCACGTATTGATCCAGAATTTAAACGTTCTGTTGCACTTAATATATTAAATAGTCTTAGTGAAGCGAAGTATATTTTTAAAAAAATTATTATTTTTTTTGTTTCAATCAATCAATTTATTCTATTTTTAAGATTAGCAAAAAGTGTTTGTACACAATTAAATGATCGTATACGTATGTCACATGATAATTTTGAAACATTACTTAAACAACTTGAACATCGTCATTCGGATCGTCTTAAAACAACAGAAGATAAACAACAACGTGTCAGAAAAGAATGTACACCAAAAATAGCTCGATTATTACTTGAAAGTACATCATTAAAAGATCTTATTCAATATGGTTTACCAAAACAAGGACGTGAAATTGGACGTGGACAATATGGTGTTGTTTATGAATGTAAAAATTGGGCTAATCATCAATCATGTGTTATAAAGTCTGTTGTACCACCTGATGATCGACATTGGAATGATCTTGCTTTAGAATTTCATTATTTAAGGTAGCCTACTATTGATATTATAAGTCAAGACAAATGACTGTTTTTTGAATAACTCGCACGAAGTGTAAGATAATAATATGTAGTTTTCAGCGATTCAATGCTAAAACTCTAAGACATTTTTTTGGAAAAAACATGTTAGGATCAATTTTTAGAGATTGTTTGAATAACTACGGTGTATTTCTGACAGCTCGCATACGAATCGATTGACTATTTTCTGCAATAGGCTAAAAATCCAATAAAATAATCATAACTCGAGAAAAAAAAACCTAATTACAAGACTCTTTTTAGAGTTTTTATTTACATTACGAGTCGTACCTATGAGCAAAACATGTTCTCAAACGAGGATCATTCGTCAGATGATTTTGTCGTAAGCTAAAGTTGACTTTTGCTCCTTTCTTGATTTTCAAAATCTCTAGGACATCCATATTGCTTGATCAATCCGCATTCAGAATGGCATGAAAGAATGCATTATAGATCATACTGAGTCTGCCACAATACATTTAACTGCTTTAAAAAAATCAAAATCTACTCCATTTTATATGCAGGATACCGGCAAGCACAAGCAAGGTTTTGGAAAGTTTTTGTCGAAAATCTTGCTGATCAACAGGATAAATTTAATTTATTCCTAAGTAGAGAATCATACGAAGAACATAAAATGAAGTATATTTTGAAGCATTTCGAATATACCTTTTCAGAGAATTATAAAATTTTTCTAGCTCTTATGGAAATAATCAAAAATCGTTCTGTTGACCTACTGTCGGTTTTATATAAGCTTCTTTTGATAACTAACCTAGTCATACGTTTCAGTAAGTCACCTGAAAGTCTGACAAGGAGAAAAAATTAACTTTAGCTTAGACCTAATTCTCTAGGAGACGGTCAAGATTACAAACTTCCAAAAGAAATGCATAGATTCGTATATCAGCTTTCAGAAACAAGACGTGATTTCTGAAAAATCCTCCAAAAAGATATCTTAGAGTTTTGAATTTGAATCACTCAAAAAATCACATAGCATTATCTTACATTTTGCGGGAGTTATTCCAAAAGAAAAGTATTCAAGTCCTATGACTTCTATTTCTTTGAGTGACATTGATAGAATTTCTTTTGAATTATTATTGTTATTGTTTTTTTTTTCAAAGACGAATTCCAGAACATCCAAGAATTGTTAAATTACTTGGATCAGTTATTGATTATAATGATAGTGATCAAACACCAGTATTACTTGTTATGGAAAGACTTAGACGTGATTTGTATGTTGCTTTAAAAAATCGACTCGAATTTTCAGTTAGGTAACAAAGAAAGACAAGATTTTTTTTTTCTTTTGTTATGATAAAAGCAAGAAATTCTTTTATAGAATGCGTGTTGCTTTGGATGTTGTGGAAGGTTTAAGATATTTACATGGTTTAGGTCTTGTACATCGTGATATTAAATTAAAAAATGTCTTGGTAAGAAATTTGAAAAATTTTCTTTTGCTTTTTACAAGAAATTTTTTTTCCCTCCTGATTGTATTGTTTTCATGAAGAAGAGAAAAGAAGAAATAGTTCTAAACAGATATAATGTATCCTATTAAACTTTTTAAATTCATTGTAAAATATATTTAAAAATTGTAGAAGATTAAATATTGAATCTTATACTTCAATTTTATTTGTAATTATTTTCTAGTTAGATGAAGTTAATCGTGCTCGTATTACTGATCTTGGTTTTTGTAAACCAGAAGTTATGATGAGTGGTTCTCTAGTTGGAAGTAAGTAGAATAAATTAATTAAAATTTTTTTTTTATTCAAATCTATTCTTAAGCTCCGATTCATATGGCACCTGAGTTATTTACATTAAAATATGATCATACAGTTGATATTTATGCATTTGGTATATTATTTTGGTATATATGTTCAAATGGTGTTAAATTACCAACAAATTTTGATGTTTGTTCATCAAAAGATATACTTTGGTCAGCAGTAAAAAAAGGTGTACGACCAGAACGTTTAATGGATTTTAGTGATGAATGTTGGTCAATAATGACAAAATGTTGGGATACTCAACCATCGCAAAGACCTTATTTAGGTGAAGTTCAAGAAAAAATTGAGCAAATTCTTAATAATACAAGAACAACATCTGTTTGATTTCAACTCATTATTAATTTATATTTTCTTTTTCATATTATTTCTTTTGTTCAGTAATTAACAATAAAAAACATATATATATATATATGAAACAAGAAAAACCAGGCGTCAGATTTCTTATCCTTTTTCTTCTCCTTCATCTTTCCATATACATAAATTATTTTCTTTATCTATATCATTTATTTCTTGCTTTAAAATAACAGTGACTATTCTTGTATAAATCAGCTATCATTAGACGATTAATTGTTCTTCCGAATTAATATATGCCAGCTCCATTTATTTATTTTTTTTTTTGTTGTTGAAGAGAATCGTTCTTTGTTTGTTTGTTTTATTTTTTCATTTATATACATCATTTCGTTGAACTATACAATACATACAAATACATTCATACATGTATATATTGTTAAATTTCGATATGACGAAAAACCAAGTTCGGTATTTTTCAGTGGATGTTATTGATAATTTTCATCAGTACGATGATAAGAATGAAAAATTGAGATATTATATTTCTATTTTTTTTTCAGATGGCAACAAGTTCAATTGAATATGAAGGATCTGATACATATTGTTCAAATATTTAATAGTCTAAAAAAAACTTTGTTCTGATGAGTTTTGAACATATGGACCTAGATATGAGCTGAAGCGATTTTTTTGTCTCCGGATCATATTGAATATAGCTAAATGAATCAAGAATACATCGAACCAGGACTAAATAAAATATTCGAATCCCAAACACTCTAAAAAATGAGGTCGAATAATCAATCGTTTCGTCCGTATCGCTAGAAGAATGGTCAAGTTTTTGTTGAGTTCATAGAGAAGTACGAGTGTGAACCTTAATAAAAAAAAAGGATTTCTCGTTTGGCTATACTAGATCTACAGACAGTGAAAGGTTTGAAGACCTTCTAAAATAAGTCAACAAATGTTCAGAAATACTCAAACTTGAATTTAACCGAACTACAGGGTACTTTGATGATTACCTATGTATCTCAAGAAATGCTTAGTCAATCAATCCAAAACTTCGATATTGTGTGAAGTGGTTGGATAGTTCTCGAACACCGAGCCATACTCGGATTCAGTGCATACTTAAAATGGATCCTTGAAACTTTATGTATTATTGATGGACTTTGCATCAGATGTGTTGACATAAAATAAATGAATTGTCAATTAATTAGATCCTAACAACTGATTGATACTTGAAAAAAATGATGCAAAGAATAAACAATTTGAAATTACTTTTTGTTTCAAGGGTCAATTTAATAATACTTCTGTCAAAAATAGAGATCGGCGTAATCACGATCAAGCTCACAGTCATGAAGGTTTTCCAGAAATCGTTGAGACACTACACTAAGTAAGCTTTTGAAAACCTATTTCTCAAACATTGATATTGTCAACAATGGCTATAGTTCATCGATCAGTCGATAATATTTGGTAAGAATACTTTGGGTCCTGTTCGTATCATAATTTTGCTTTCGAGGACCAACCGTATTTTTATAATTTACCTGTAGCTGACATTGAAAAGAGAATATCATTTCTATCTTCATGTTTCTCAAAAAATTCGACTGAACCAATGTTCAGAAAAAAAAAAGATTTTTCGACCTGAGAAGATAACTGGTACGGATTGTTGAATCATGTTTTCCTAAGTTGTATTATACCAATCATTAACTTAATAGAATTTCTATTATCGATAAATTTCAAAATATGAATGGAACACAAAGTCTTATACCCGTACCTAGTAATATTTGTACAGAATCTTTTCGGTGTGGGTGATTTCGTTCTTCTATCCGAAATTACAAAGGATGCATTTGTTCAAAATCTTAAATTACGGTTTGATATTAGTTTTAATGCAATTTCAAATAGAATATTTTTATTTTAGTTTCGACAAAGGAAGAATCTATACATATATTGGTGAAGTTCGTTTATTTAATTTTTTTCTTTTGGTATATAAAAGAAAACTTTCAATGATCATTTTAGGTACTTGTGAGTGTTAATCCTTATCGTGAATTGTCTATATATGGACATAATTATATAACAAGTTATAAAGGTTGTGAAATGTTTGAACGACCTGCGCATATATTCGCGATTGCTGAAGCCGCATATCGAACACTAAAACAACGTTTAATTAATACTTGTATTGTCATTTCTGGTAAATATTCTTTTTTTTTGCTGTTATAAATAAAAACAGGCGGCCGATAATTGATGCCATAGGTCTTCTCAAGAAATTCAATTCCTTCTGTGTCAAACCTTTAGACAAGGTATTCGAAACTAATTTCTGATGAAACTAGCCTAATAGCTTTTTTTGGTGCTATGCTAGGCCGGGTTGAAATAGTTAATGACTGTGACATGTATTACTGAATCCGGCTATTGATGATAAATAGCTTTTTTAAATTTTATTGGAGTTGTTAGACCCATACTACAAACAATAGCTATAGAGTTGATTTTATCAGAAAATTACTTTCGAACACCTTGTTTGATATAGAAGAAACCAAGTTTCTTAAGACGAGGGCTGATTTTATCAGCTATCGATCTCACTTCTTCCTTTATTAATTTTTTTTTTATTCATTAGGTGAATCTGGTTCAGGTAAAACTGAGGCATCAAAAATAATTCTTCGTTATATAGCAGCAGTAACAAATATATCAAATCAAGCAGAAATTCAAAGGTTAATAAACTATTTCGTTATTTGATGTCGTATTTAATTGAAATTATATTTAGAATTAGTAATATTCTTATTCAAACAAATGTTATTCTTGAAACATTTGGAAATAGTCGAACAAATCGTAATGATAATAGTAGTCGATTTGGTAAATATATGGATTTAAATTTTGATTATAAATTTGATCCAATTGGAGGAAAAATTCAACATTATTTACTTGAAAAATCTCGTGTTGTTAAACAACAAATAGGTGAAAGAAATTTTCATTCATTTTATCAATTATTATCGAATAAAAAATCTCTACAAGAATATGGACTTTATCTTAAACCTGAAGATTATTATTATATTAATCAAGGACAATGTTGTAAAATAGATAGAATAGATGATAACAAAGATTATGAGAAAGCTATAGAAGCATTTAAAGTTGTTGGTTTTACACAAGATGAAATATCAACAATATGGAAAATAATTGCTACTATTATACATCTTGTAAATTGAAGATTTTTCTTTGTTTTTATTTTTATTTTTTTGAATATTATTTTTTTAAAAGGGAAATTTAACATTTACTGATGTTGATGGTGAACATTGTTTAATAGTACGATCAAATGATCAAAATGATCAATTAGAATGGATATCAAAACTTCTAGATTGTGAACAATCAGATATATCATCAGCATTAACTTCACGTGTTGTTGCAGCACGTAATGAAGTTTTTCAATCTAGACAAAATGTAACACGTGCTTATTATGGACGAGATGCATTAAGCAAGGTAAATTGTATATAAATTTAATAAATATATACATATTGAAGAAAGAAAAAAAAAAGTATTCTGCGAGTCCTTTGATCTGAGTTTTCGATTCATCAAGCAAATATAGTAATCTCAAGAAGTTTGGTCAACGAATAAAAAGAACATGAACTTCCATCCACTATAATTGTGAGGCGCAGAGAAACTTTCATGTTTGAAACAGTCTCAGTATGGATCTTTTCTTCATTGATAACTGTGCCCGTAAAATTTTCAAGGTAAATATTAAAAATTAGCGACATGTTTGGTTTTTCTTTTCTACAATTCTCATGAACTCTCATGTTGAGATTACCCAAAAAATAACTAAAACTGTTTCACATAGAATTTTTATTAATAATAGAGACAGTACTGAGCTATGGAATAAGGATTGTCATGTCATGAGATTTATTTTCTATGTAGAGATATTCTCGTCTGAAGAAAATTTCTATATGAACTTTCTATCTTTTCAGATGAAGACTGATCATGTTCTTGCGATCAAAGTGCAACATACTCTATTCGTAGTCAAACTATAAGTCTAAAAGATTAAAATTCAATTACTTTTTTTTACCTGATAGCAAGACTATTTGCGACAACTTTAGTTCTTTCGTACAAACATACTTAATAAAATAATATTCTCTCACTCTATGCTATATTGATAACTTGCTTTTTGAATGTTTTTTTTTGTCTTCTTATCTATATATTCGATGTTATTATAATAATATGAAATTTTTAGGCTTTATACGAACGTCTATTTGAATGGCTTATTAAATATATAAATAAAACTTTATCACAAGATGATTATGAACGAAGAAATTCTTTTCATAAACGAATATATGATTCATTTGTTATTGGTGTACTTGATATATATGGTTTTGAAATATTTGAAAATAATAGGTAGAACTTTTTTTTTTACGATTTTTAAACAATTATTTTATTTCTTTTATTTAATATATAATTAGTTTTGAACAATTATGTATAAATTATTGTAATGAAAAATTACAACAATTATTTATTGAACTTGTACTTAAACAAGAACAAGATGAATATGAAAGTGAAAATATAACTTGGCAACATGTTTGTTTTTTTATAAATAAGAAATTCAATATTAAAATGATATCTATGTTACTTCTATTTAGATTGATTATTTTAATAATAAAATTATTTGTGATCTTATTGAACAATCACGTATTGGTATTTTAGCACATCTTGATGAAGCATGTCAAATAGTAGGAACAGTTACAGATGAAATATTTCTTAAATCAATAAATAAAACATTTAAAAATCATAAACATTATTCTAGTTGGGAAGTAAGTATTAATATAATTTCAATATAATTTAATTAATTTAAATATTTAAGCTTACTCCCGGTGATAAAATATGGAAAAATATTGATACTAATAAACTTTTTCTCATTCGTCATTATGCCGGTATGTATTTATTTATTTAATTATTCTATTAAATAAATAATAATTCTCGACAACTTTTCTTTATTTATTATAGGTGATGTTGTTTATTCTGTTGATGGATTTTTAGATAAAAATCGTGATACTTTATATGATGATTTTAAA